AATTCAAAATCAATTCCAAGAAACACACATGTGTCCTTGTAATTCTAAGTAGAACTAGACATTGGAGCCCGTGCCAGCACGAGCCCAATGTATATTACTTTTTCAGTCTCAATTTATGTAACATAGTTGAAATTTGGAAGATCGTTTGAAAAACTATGTTTTTTAAATAATTAAAGTTATTAATGATTATGATTTCTAGTAAAATTTTTACGTAATTTCAACATAATTTATATTATTCTCCATGTCCCAATTACGTGGCGCTTATAGAATTTTAAATATCACTAAAATTTTATAAATATTCCAAGTTGTTAATAATTGTGATTTATAGTATTTTTACGTCATTTTCAAATAATATTTGTTCCTTCTTTGTTTCAATTTATGTGGCACCGATAAAATTTTGAGAGTCAATCGATCATCAATATATGTTACTCTTTTTTTTATCTCAATCATGAACTCAATATATATTTTTTAATCTCAATTTATGTAATACAAATAGAATTTGAAGAATCAATCAATTCTTTTTATATGTTCTTTTTAAAAATATTTGAAGTTATTAATCTGTTGTGAATTATAGTATCTTTTCTGTAATTTTTTAATAATATATGTTAATCCTATTCTAGTTCACGTGAATAATTATAAATATTTTTGGTTGTTAATTTATTGTGAATTTTAGAACTTTTGATGCCATTTTCAAATAATTATATTTTCAGTTACTAATTATTGTGATTTATAGTATTTTTTACGTAATTTTTTTATAATATATATTATTTCATCGGTTCAAATTCATGTGACAATAACAAAATTTAAAGATTCAATAACTTTTTTAAAAAAGTACCTCCAATATATTTTATAGCTAAAATATATTTACAGAGCTATTAAATTTCGAAAAAGTTAATTGCCAAAAAAATGGTGAACCGATGAGAATAAAGAGAAAGAGATTAGAATTGTTGAAGTGGGGTCCATATGTTAAAAGGAAGTTGGATAGTGAAAAGAAAACTGAAAAAAAGAGGAATGGACAGAAACAAGGGCCCACATTTTTCAGCTGATTGTAAAGAAAAGAGGGAAATATGGGTGGGCTTTTATGTCCAATAAATGAAAAAGTGCAACTGTAAAACAGTTGAGTACCATACATTTCTACATAACACTAAAAGTAAATTCCTATATTACCCCTAGCTAGGGAAGCAGGCATGTTGATGAACAACTGCTTAAGAAGTTCTACATTTTTCAAAGTAATTAATTAAGGGTATAATAGATAAAGAAAAAATGTCATTTCTTAATTTGTTAAAATCAACAAATATTTACAAACAACTATAAAATGAAAAATGAACAAGTAATTAGGAACAAATGAAGTAGTAATAGCGGGCAAACCATGACATGTGTAGATGCAGAAAATAAACACAACGTGCACGTTGGCTGCGAGGCCTCGAAATCCCAGGTTGTAGGCCACACCAACGTCTTCTGATTGGCTTAGTAGTCACCCACTCATTGGCCCACCACATTCAAATTTGATACTCCCTATATCCATATCATTAATCGTGTTACTAAAAATAATTATCTCATATTAGTTGTTTATCTTACTAAATAAAAAAAAATCATTAATAAAATTTTCCTATATTATCCTTGTACAAATATTTTTTTGAAAGTATTCACATTTATTTGTAAAATTTTCAAGAACTTTTTTAAGGAATAAATTAGTAAAATTATCTTCTTATTTGTGATTTCTTAGTATACCTGTAAGAAGAAAAATGATCAACTGATATGAAATAAAGATTGGGCATCGTTGTCACAAGCCACAAAAACACACTGTTAAAACTCAATTATACAGAATTATCTTTCTTCCTTTTTCCTGATCCTTTCTCATCATTAAGATTTTATTTTTATTTTCCTTTATTCAAGAGATTTGTTTTGAGAAATTTGAAAATTGGACATGTCAATTTAAATTTTGAAGGCGGAATGACTAGTAAGACTCTTGTGCTTAGCTCGATTTGTTAGTTGAAATTTTCTACTCAATATTTTATCAACGAAACCCTTAAACCCATTAAAACAAAATATTTTGAGCCTTTTTTTTGACCTGTCATCTTATGTAACATTTTTGTTCGAAGTGAGTGTAATACACACATTTTAGGCAGGTGACGCCTTCAAAAAAGTCACTTTCACTCATTTTTTCTTTCAAATTTTCCCCAAAAATTTTGTTTTGTTTTTGTCATTCTTCTTGTCTTTTTACTCCTATAGATCCTTCATTATCAATCAATCTTTTTTAATTTTTTTTTTGTTGCTTGTATAATTGTACTACTGTATATATCTACTCTATCATATGTATAAACTTTTCTCTACAATAATCTTCCTTTAATATAACAAGCTTCCTCAAATTTCATCAAACAACAAGAAGAGAAAAAACTACTCTTAGTGCAATTTCATCAAACACCCAGCAAGAAAAAAAACTGATTTTTTTTTTTCATTTTCTCTAACACCCAAAAGAGAATTTTTTTTATCTATCTCCATTTTCATCATAAATCCAGATTTTTTTTAGCTTTCTCGGTTGCGTCAAAATTCCAGAAGAAATTAACTTAGAGGGTGTTTGGATTAGCTTAAAAGTTGGTCAAATCTACTTTTAAGTCAATTTTTAACTTCTTGAAGTGTTTGACAAATATAAAAATAATTTAAAATAATTCAAAAATGACTTAAAATAAGTTAGAAAGTGTTTGACAAGGTAAAAAATGATTTAAAATAAGTTTAAAATGACTTAAAATAGGTCAAAAACCAAAAGTAGGTCTCTCCCTACTTTTTATTTTTTGACTTAAAAGTCATTTCAGTTTGACTTTTTATTTTTGACTTAAAAGCTATTTTTTTAAGCCAATCCAAACATGCTCTTAATCTAATGTCATAATCCTAAAATTCGAGATACATGAAAATCACAGACCAAGAAATAGAGAACAAAATAATTTTTTTCTAGGTTAAGACGAGGTTAATACAAAGAGAGATTAAAAATTTCACTAGCACCTTCAACAATGACAATAACATGGGAGTGAAGCGCAAAAATTGGGGTGAGAAAAGTATGTGGCTCTATTTGAACAAAGAGAAAATGAAATGAAATAGGAAGTTTTAGACTTTAACAAGTAATTTTCTATGTGGCAGTTTTAAATGATGTGGAATCAACGTGGAATCAAGTGTAATACACGCACCCTTGAGCCATCCAAAAAAGGGTTTAAAATATTGTGTTTTAATGGTTTTAATGGGTTTAAGGGTTTATTTTACATAGTGGTGAGTAGAAGGGTTCAATTGACAAACTGAGTCAAGTACAGAGGTTTGTCAGGTCATTCTGCCAATTTTGAACCACTGCAAGCAGTCTGATTGTCGAGACGCGCGAGTTCAATGGAATTAATAGGGTTGGGCATTCGGTTTGTTTGATTCGATTTACGAAATTCGGTTCGGTTTTTCGGATTTCGATTTTGAAAAAATACAAACTGAAACTGAACTGAAATAAATTCGGTTCAGTTTGATTTTTACAATTTCGATTCAGTTCAGTTCAATTCTGTTAATTTTTCAGTTCGAATATCATCAACACATACATGAAACACTGATCAGTAACACACTAACACATACACATTACTTATCAGTGTCTACTACTGTACTACCTACGCTATCCTTAATCAAAGTAAGTGTACATTACTAATATGCAAATAATGTTTTTCCTACCTACTAGGTACTACCTACGCTACCTACAAATTATGTGCACTTTGTATGGTCAATCAATCAATTATTGATGTGCACTTAATAAGTGACTATCTTGCACACATACTAAGTGCAAAAACTAAGTGCACGTTGCACTAGTGCTTACTGCCTGTGGGAACTGGGAAGAATATAATTGAATATCATCAAAACATTAATACATACATGAATGATGAAACACTAATCACTAATTTACTATTCAAAAGAAAAATTACAAAGTGGCACTTCAAGTTCAAAATTGCAACAAAAAGCTAAGAAACCAAGAGTATTAGACATCAATAACAGTACAAAACAAGAACCAGCAGTCCAGCAATACAAAATAATAATTAGTAGTCAAAACAAGAACCAACAAGACAAAATAAGAATCGGTAACAACATTGCAGTCCAACTCTATCAGAAGAAAGTTGGCATTCCTTGTGTGCATTTCATTGCAGTCTAACAACAACACTACAATCTGCAGTCCAACAACAACACTGCAGTCCAACTCGATCAGTTCACCATAATAACATCAAAACTATAAATATGCCTGTGAGAAAATGGAACTCTTTAGATATATGATAGAAAGTAAACTCAACTCAACGAAAAAAAAGAGAAAAACAAGTGTTAAATGCTAATAGAAAAAGATTTTGAATTAAATTTTACTTACTGCTTGATAGTTATAACTACACATCCACAATACTAGATTCAATTCCACTATGAGCCATATCTACAAAAACATGAAAGGACTTGTTAGATATAAACAACATAAATAAGAAATTATTTTTGATATAATGAACACAAAATATTAAATTCTTACCAAGTTCAAGTAGCTCAAGATACTCTAGATCTTCCTCAACATTAATTGGAATTGGTTCACTTCTATACCAATCTTGAAGAGAAATAAGAGCTTACACTAGTTTAGGAGTCAATGAACTCCTAAAAGGATCAAGAATGCGACCTCCTGTGCTAAATGCACATTCAGATGCGACACTTGAAATAGGAATGGCTAATACATCACGAGCCATCTCAGAAAGAATAGGAAATCTTGGCTCATTAAATTTCCACCACTTTAATATATCAAAATCATCAGTCTCTGGCTCAACATCTTCAGCAAGATATCTACCTAACTCTGATTTACTACTTGAACTTCCACTAACTACTTGATGCCTCACAAATTCTAATCTCGTTCTCATTGATCCTCTTTTTTGAAAGTTGTCATCACCACTCACACTAGATATACTCGATGAGTTCCCAGATGAAGTAAGTGAAGATGATGAACATAAAGAGACTTTTCATGATTTCTTAACATAATGATCAAACAAAGCTTTCATGTATTTATCCACTGCATCAGCAAGTGGCTCCCTAATTATTTTTCCAAACATGTCACCAATTGTAAAACGAACATAAGCAAGCTTGTTTCGAGGATCCAACACAGTTGATATAAAAATAATTTTGTTCATGTTATCTGGTTCACCCCAATATTTTCTGAATTTGTCTCTTATACTTTCTGCCATTTTTTTCAAATTAGAATCTTCTGTCATCTCTTTCAAAATAAGATCAAGCTCAACAATTTCTACAAAGTGCACATTATTTGTAACATACTTTGAACCAGAGACCTTCAAAGTAAGTGTATAAAAAGTTTCAAGAAACTTAATCATTGGCCTCACATTTTCCCAATCAACACTAGTGAAGACACCTGCTTTAGTTCCATCTTCACAATCATGGGTACGGAGATAATCAAGAAATCCAATATCATAAAAACTATATCTTTCAAATGCAAGTTCAAAGTGTTGTGCAATATCAAGCATCAAATATGTAGAGTTCCACCTAGTAAGAACATCTAAACATAATGATTTCTTACAAGTTATCAATTGAGATTCACAACATTCTTTAAATTTTTTAATTCTTACAGGAGATTGTCTAATGTATTTCACGGCTTGTCTCACTCGCTTGACTGACTGACCAACTTCCTTCAATCGATCTTGCACAATAAGATTAAGAATATGCGCCATACACCTCACATGAAGATGCTGACCCTCCATTATGTTGGTTCCCCAATTAGTCAGTTGCTTAGATATTTCTTTAACAGTAACACTGTTGGAACTAGCATTATCAACTGTTATGGTAAACACATTATCCAAACCCCAATCAAGCAAACAATTAGTAATGGAAGCTGCCATATCATCACCTTTATGACTAGAAATAGGACAAAAAATTATAATTCGTTTATGCAAAGTCCAATTTCTATCTATAAAGTGGGTTGTTAGACACAAGTAGTTGATTCTTTGAACAGACGTCCAAGTATCTGTCGTAAGACAAACTTTTGGACGTGCTTCTTTGAAAGAATTCTTGAAGAGTTTTTTTTCTTCACTGTAAAGTTCATAACAATCTCTTGTCAAAGTTCTACTAGAAGGAATATGAAATTGTGGCACTATAACTTTCATGAAATTCCTAAAACCTTCCTTCTCAACAATACTAAATGGCAACTCGTCAACAATTATGATTTGAGCTAAAGCTCTTCTACTTTGTGCTTGATCAAATTTCCAAGTGTTAATCACCCCTTCCTTTGCTCCCGTTGAAGATGGTAAAAAATTTATTAATTTCTGACCATAATCTTCGGTAGAGGGAAAGTTAGGACATTTTTGTTAGTCATATGGTTATTCATGGCTGAAGTACCATTACCTTTTGTAACAGCAACATACATTTTTCCACAATAATTACATTTTGTTTTAGTAGCTCCATCTTTATCGATGAATTTCTCAAAATGCTTCCAACAAGCAGCCCTAGGTTCCATGGCTTTTCTTTTCTTTGAAGCTTCAATGTCAGCTTCAACTTCATTCAGAGATGAAGTATTATGTATGGTTTCATTTGAAGCCCCACTTTCACTTATCTTACTTCCGATTTCTGTCATCTGCGAATAAGAAGAAGAAAAGATGTGAGAACTTAGAACCCATACGAAAATCAGTGAGAATCGCAACAAACTGATATATATAAAGTATAATGGAGAATCGTGGCCAAGAAACTTACTCTTCAGGTCGATGGCTGAGCTTGCCGCCTCGCGCAGTCGCGGACTTGCGGCTGTTCTTCAATTTTCACTCGCGCAGAAGGCAGAACTTAGTTTGGTGTGAAAACTGAAATGTGAATTGTGAATTAGGGATTTAGGGTGGATAAGGATTTAGGGATATAATGGGCTATTGGGCTTAGTTGGGTTGGGCTTTTAGTTATGTTACTTAACAGTTAACTCTTAAAAATATATATGTAGTAAATGTGTATTACATAAATTCGATTTTTCGGTTAACCGAAATAAAAAACTTAAAAACCAAAAACCGAACCGAATTATCAAAATTTTAAAATTGAAAATCGAAACCGACCGATTTAACCGAAAACCAAAACTGAAATTTAAAAAGAATTAGTTCGGTCGGTTTTTTCGGTTTCGACCAAATTATGCCCAGCCCTAGGAATTAAACTTAATCGAGCTCGAATCTGTTCTTTAATATTTAGTTTTATGTAATGCTTCTTCATCAGAAATAATTAAATTCATGATAAAATGGTTGATTAAGAAAAATACAAGCATTACTAATTTAAATTGAACTTCATTATTGAATTAATATATTGGTAACTTAACTAAATTTAATGGATGAGTTTTAATTTTAATGTAGTCATCAATGACTATAATGAGTCAATCATGTTGAGCTGAGTTGGCTCAATCGAGCCCAAGCTTGATGGAGCCAAGCTTTGATCGGGTTTTAATCGAACCAAGTTGTGTCAAACTTTAATCAAAACCTAAACGAACTAAAGACACGTGAGTCAAGCCCTAAGTTGGTTTGGCTCGTTGTCAACCCTAATGGGAAGAGTTAGTTTCATGTGTGATCATATATCATTATCCACTTAACAATAAGATAAAGTAAATAACTTTTTTGATACATAAGTTATTAAACATTGTTAAGGGTAATTTTGGTTACTTTAGTAAAAATAGTTTTATGACTTCATTATAATAAAGGGATAGTTTAAAATATATACAATAAAGTAATTAGTTACAATAAATATAGTTGTGTTTTATTTACATAAAAAAAGCCAAAAATCATAGGAAATATGTATGAACTTGTTTACACACTATAGTTTGCCAAAAATCATAGGAAATATACATTGATTATATACTATAACTTTCCAGAGTCATAGAAAATATGCACTAATATATAATATAACTTACCTATACATGAGCTATACACTGAATATACATTATGATACACTCAAAAAACTGAATATAGCTTAACTATACATGAATTATGCATTGACTATACATAAAGTATATATTGACTATTCAATCTCGTTCAACTCTAAATCACCAGTAAACAATCACAAAATTTTAGATATTAAATCATCTCGATGTTTCAAGTCTTATAAAATATAATTCGCTTGAAACGATTCACAGTTGCGGTATGTCAATCTTTTTTTAAGGAAAAAGTATCCAATGGCCATTTATGGTAATAAATAATTTTTTTAGTGGACTATTTTTTGTGTAAAATATATAACCCAATGGACATTTTGTTTAATTTTCCCTATAATAAATTAGTATTTTTACGATGAATAAAGTTTAGTAAGTGCATACCATGTTTGTAAAGAAAACTTTTTTTCCTTTAGCAAAAAAAAAATCTTCACTCTCCTTGATTCATGCATGCCAAATCAAGCTAAGGATTCAAGAATTTTTTATCAAGTTACTACTTAGGAGGTTTGAAGGGAGTTTGAAATGAGGACTTTAATCTTAAGAAAATGCTAATTTTTTTATCAAGTTACTACTTAGGAGGTTTGAAGGGAGTTTGAAATGAGGACTTGAATCTTAAGAAAATGCTAATATAATTACAAGGCTCCACTTAAATGAAGCTCATCTTATGGATCATAGATTCAACATGAGACAATACTTCTTGTCGTATATCATGTCATGTCGAGCATATTGGCTATATTTGCAATTGTTTGAGTGTCACTTTTGCCCATTTATATAATAGTTAGCCTCAAACTATAAATAGGTTAGAATATATCAATTATGGTAGTAATGTTATTGATTCTTGTGAGTTTGACTTGCTACAAACTAGTAGTGATTCTTGTGTTGATTAACTTATTTGCAATTTTCCCCCACTAATTGAGGAATTTCGTGATTTGATTAAGAAGTTTCAACTTAGTGTAGATGTGAATAGAGTTGGTCTTTTGAAAAAAGTGAGACTCTTTGAGAGCGGGCGCTAGCTTCCTAAACAAGATTTTCTATGAGGTAGAGGCTGGATCAATAAAAGAAAGATAAGGAAAGTGTACAAGATTCCAATCAGGCCACCTTCCTTTAAGTTGTGGCTAAAAATAAGCCTTGGTGATCTATCTTCCTTCTCTTAGGCCCCTAGACCATGATGTACATATTTTAATTATTCATCTTTAATAAATTGTTCTCTCTTTAAGTACAATGTCTTATTTCGTGATGATGAAATCATTCACATTGATGTGCCTAATGGATGTGAATATAATATTAGTGAAATAGCTATTCTCAAGGGTTACAAATTGTTTGATATGCCACTATGGATTGATGAATCTCTTCTTTATGATGGGAATAAATTTAGTCTAATTCCTTCTTGAAAGATACATGGTAAGTCTATGCGAAGTCTTTAAGATGTTTATTCGGGTCTTTAAGAGGTGGTAGACCACCGAATAAACTCTTCAATATCGTGTGGGTGATGTTGAAAGAAAATTTTCCACTAGTGGTGAAGATCTAATGACCCTTCATGGCCCACTTGTAACGCAACCTTAGCTACCAATTCATGATCGTGTTTGTGACTCATCATAGAATTTAGCCTCATTTCCTACATTTTCTTTCTATTTCCTGGTCAATTGAAATCAAGGGAGATCCTTCACTCCTAGTATTAGGCATAAACTGATAAAAATTCTGCAACGGATAAAAAATACAATCAGTGTAATTTGAAAAAGAAAATAATAACTACTTATAAATTATAAAACTCTAAACTACACTCCTAGCAATAACATCAAAATTTTGTTGTCGTCCAAACTACCCTTTTTTTACGGATTAAAGCGATCAATACAAATACAGTAACCCAATTAGGTTGAGTCGAATTCCGAGCATACTAGAGTTCATTTATAATTTGATGTTGAAATTCACAGAAGAAACTACTATAAGAAATTGGAGGTTTTAATTGTAATCTACTAACTACTTTAACTACTTCAATTTCATCCATAAGTAAGACAAACTAGGGTTATAGTTCTTAGATATCGGAACTCCAACAAATACTTTACTATCAATTCATTCAATTGTGTTCATTGTGCAAAACTGACAAATCTATAGATCTTTTAAAGCATTTTGACTCAATAAGAGAATATCATGTTTAAGTACTTCTTAGGGACTTGGATGCCAAATTAATTTGTTTATCCGTTAAAAGTCTCAAGTAAACTATCCTCTATAAAGCTCAAGTTATTAGATAGTGGTTGGTAGCATAAAATCCTTGTTAATGGACCTTTTTTTTTCTAATTCGTACCTCTATGATCAAGAATATCATAATACCAACGAGTTTCTTTATAATGATTTTCAATCATTCAAATAAAATGTTAAGTATGAAAGAAACTTAGTACACAATGATCACCCTTGTTATGAATAAATATTTTATTGTAAAACACTCATCATCATTATCCTTAATCTAAGTCCCATACCCGTAGTTATGAATTAAGATACTCACATCTAGTGTAAAATAACAATTATAATAATTTAAATTAATGGAGAACATGAATGTAATAAAGTGATTGAAATATTTGATTAAGACCAATGAATTCTTATTCTACTTCTAAGTCCTAATAGCTCTTCTAATAATTTGTCCCCCTAAAAATAACGTTAAAACACGCACACACACACGCACGCGCACACACACACATAATAGGATCAAAATTGTAATCCCAATTGGAATCTGTGCTGATTGAGTCAAACTAGTTTTATGAACAATGGGGTTGTGACGTGAAAAGCCATGCCCCACAGCACAGATGTCACAACTCACAACCCAAGATTATCCCTAGTCGTAACATGGTTCTTAGAGCCACATGGTATCCCAAAATAACCCGTGGTCTGAAACGATACTACAATTAACATAAATAAGAACTGAAAGTACTGATAGAGAAGCTAACATTGAGATAAATAAGAAATCCAAGTTGTAAAACTTAATACTCAAATAAGTTCATCCAATCATGACATAACGCTAAAATACTAATATCTGACTGATTGTCTGGAAGCCTTTATTAAGATGATTTGCTAAGACAAACCCCGAGCTAACTCTAACTATTTGAAAAACTAAAAGACTAAATAACTAAAATAAAGATAAAGGTTGTCCTCGAAGGATGAGGACTCACCAATAATGATGTTGTATTGAATGAAATTGTACTAATTGCGAGCTGGATACTGAGCGTCTAGACTTATATTATAAAATAATAAAGCGCGAAAATATACGATAAGTACTTTGAATGTATTAAGTTGTGAAATATGCATGATAAGACTGAGATAATTGACTATGAGGTCATGCAACATCTTATACTAGACTGTGGGAGATACTAAGACAAATATATAGCCATGTGAGCTAGTCATGGAGCTCGATGCATACTTTCCATAGAAAAAGAGCACAATATACCTTGCCAAGATATAAAAGTTTTGTCTGAATTTGATGTGGTACCACTAAGCTGATAATATGTGCCTTTAAGGGTTACATAGAGCTATAGTGGCACGTATTTATGGGACTAGGAATTACCACTAAAGGCCTCAGTAGACGCTGATCATGAGCCTTTATCCCTAAAATTTACTCGGTGCTGAGTAACTCTCATAATTGAGTTTTATACTGATAATAATAGTAATACTGAATAAATCATGAATAGTGAATGCAT